GTCGCTGTTCCGAACTTGCACGGTCCCATGATATGTCCCATCATATGTATGACTTTGTTCGACATGTTCGCAAAAGATATAGAATCTAATCTTTCATGTGACAATAATACTTTTAAATATGTTATAAAGGCATTAAAGGAGGATATGAAAAAATAGGTACATACCATAGCACTAATTTTAGTACTGTTAAAAGACAGAAAATATTGATCTTTCACGTTGAGAACACCTTTGAATAACTGTTCTGATGAGACCTATTAGGTCGAAATACGTATCAACAGATACAAAGGCGCTGTTTGCGTGAAATCAAATATTTGCTGTCTTTTCAATTTTTTCGGATTTACTCTGTACGAGTACTAGAAACCAATTCGCTAAGGATTTCTGCTTAGTTGATAAGACGTGTCGTGGAATGCAAATTATAGATTCCCCACGTCTCTTTTAACACCTTCATCAACGTCTGTTTTGCTTTGCAATTTTTAGAAAGTACAGATTAAAGCGGAAATCTGAATTGTGTTTCGAAACTATTTTACGGTTTTATTGTCAGATGTCACTATTGCGTCCGTATTGAAGCCATTTTAGTGTTGCTTCTTAAAAGACAGAAAATATTGATCTTTCACGTTGAGAACATCTTTGAATAACTGTTCTGATGAGACCTATTAGGTCGAAATACGTATCAACAGATACAAAGGCGTTGTTTGCGTGAAATCAAATATCTGCTGTCTTTTCACTTTATTTGTTTTAGTTAAGTAATTTCCGGCTATTTTTCTAGTAGGCATATACGCGATGTGAGATTTTTAGAAACCCATCTTTTAACTTTTCAAACAATATCTTTGCACACACGCTGTATTCGTCATACTATTGGAAACGAAAGGATTCATTAAAGTTGTTACATACACATTCATCAGTTATAATTATAAACGAGATATAGAAAGTAAATCAAATCACAGTAATCGTGTAAATTACGTCAAGAAGGTAACCATCGGTTGAAAATTGCTAGATTCCCATAATAATCACACATCTAACGCTAAAACTGATTTTTTTTTTTTGAAAAATGAAAAACGAACGTTTATATACCTTTCTCGTGAATCATGAACAGCATTTAAAAGCGAGAATAAAAATGTCAAAATCATTAATCCGGCAAGATATCCGATCGTAAAAAAAGTAATGATATATCATTAATCGATATTCAACCAATAATCATAACCTGATGTTAGTTACAAATTAAGACATTTAGGTATGATCAATAGCAAGTTGCGGCAATATATTTATTCACATAATGATCAATAGAAAGTCATTCATAAAATAAAACCGCGATTATTTTTTAATTCTCTCATTCAATGGCATTTACAGCTTACCGTTGGTACTTTTCAATTTTATTTACATATTATGCGGTGCACATACCTACTGTTTATTTTATTTTCTTTAAACTTAGTTTATATTGCTTGCGAAAGCTTTCTTGAGAGTAGGTTCAGTTAAAATTAAATATCATTAGTCTTTTTATTTTAGTTGACATTTCGACAGGTATTCCTTGTCTTTATCAAAACTATATCCAAAATTTATCGATTATTTTTATCGTAGTGTTACAAAAAATAAGAACTTATCATAAATGAATTACCTAATTTACGTTATATATACTGGGTGACTATCAAGAGCCGGATGTTTCTAGAACGCATAGCACGAAGCTTGAGGGGATAAGAGTGAGAGCGCGGCTTTACTACCCCTGTAGTAGCCAGTCGTCAGAAGCCCTACTAAGTTCTTTTGTAGGATAACTTTGTAGGTCATCATCTTCTAATGAGCGACGAAGCTCATTTCCATTTGGACGAAACCGCTAATAAACAGAATTACAGGTAATGGGCTCCTGAAAACGCATGAAATCATGAGCGTCCTTTACATTCTCAAAAAGTCACAGTGTAGTGTGCCATTGGTCCGACTGGCATTATTGGGCCATATTTTTTCGAAAAGGCTGGCCATTCCGTCACCGTTAATTCTATTCCCTACATTGAGTTGATCCAAAATTTTTGGTTCCACAACTAAGCAGAAAAGGGATAAACCCAAGGATGAATAGGATGATAATAGAATAAATATAAAGCAGGATGATGCCACGGCACATACTGCCCATGCTTCAGGGGGTTTTCTTTTGGTGAAAACCTAGATCGAAAAGACACTACGAGTTGATTTGTTTAGAAAATGAGAGCATCCGAACATGTGTGCATATATTATATCCCTCACTGGGTGATTGTGACTTAACAGTGCGAATTGTCGAAAAGGGATTGTTAGAAATATACGGAGTTCGTGGAATAATTTGTTCGGGAGGTTGCGAATGGAGAAATAATGTTAGACTATTTGTTGAACACGGAATAAAGGGTTTGATATGATCATTATTTATTGTTTAAGATTAGAGAGTGATAAATATTTCTCAAATTATCGATGTGAGTTCGTTTATTAAGGGGTAATGGATATTTAAGAATATGGCACATTTCAAGGTGGAATCTCTTGGGATATTATCATCTTATGATATAAAAATTACAATGAATGTATACATCTTGGCATAAAACTAGCAACAAAAGGGAGCTTTCAATAGAAATCAGAGACTGCATCACCAAAGGAAAACGGGTAATAAAAGCATTGAGTCTACTGTACAAAAAAACCAAAATTTGTTTATTTTACTAATGTTTGTTATAGCAGAAAGATATTAGACCTGAAACAAAAAAGAGAATATACAATACCATATTAGGACTGGTTATTACTTGTAGCTTACAAACTTACAAACAGTTGGCAAAAAACAAAAAAACGAGCTACTGATAATAAAAATGGACTTTTAGAGAAGAGCAGCAAGGAGATCTAGTAGGGCATATTGGGTAGGACATGTCAACAAAAAACATGTTAAGTAGGACAAGTGAACAAAATTTGAAGTACATTGATGATGGTGATGACAGGTTCTTAATTGTCTCTTAAGGGCCATTATTTATAATCTGTACCATGTTGTGTGGGGGATTTGATCAATCAATGATCAAGTCAAACATGTTAAAAATACTAAGGCAAAAATGTAAACTTGCGTGCATAGAAATCGGCCCACTGTAAACTTTTGACTTTAACTATATTTTTTTCAAGAAATATTCATCAGATCACAAAAACAAATATACTGTTTGAAAGACAATTTAATATGCTTTAATGTGAGTATAAATTTATAAAAACTTATTTCGGCTTCCTATATTTAACATAGTGAAATGAATTCATTAAGCAAATTAAGCTTTTTTATTATTAACATAAATAGGGTTATTGACAATTTAAAACTTAACACTTAATTTTTTAATAATGGGTATGACCTAGTCTTGCCCTAAGAACATCTCTCATACGATTAGGCATAGATCTAATCAAGTTTGCTATTGTTGCTTGTGGGATGTTAGCCACTCTTCTTCTGTTGCAAGAATAAGCTCTGGGATCGAGCCTGGGGTATGAAGCCTAGCTCGAATTCTTCGTTTTAGCTCATCCCATAAATGTTCGATCGGATTTAGGTCAGGACTGTTTGCTGTCCAGTCTATAACCTGAAAACCGACTTCTCCAATTTAATCTTGCACGATTCTTGCGGTGTGTGCCCTTGCATTGTCATGCATAAAGATAAATTCGTCTCCAATGTAGTCAACGTAAGGTACCACATGAATTGCCAAAATCTCCTCGATATATCTGGCAGCCGTTAAACCTCTTCTTCCGTGAACACGGTCGTCCCTACGAATGAACTCAAGATCGGTGCGTGCTCCTATAGAAATTGCACCCGAGATCATGCAGGAACCAGCGCCATAAGCACTCCGCTCTTCAAAGCAACATTCTGCAAATCTCTCTCCTGGTCTCCGGTACACTTTCCTTCTTCGGTCGCTACCATAGAGGCATATTTTGGTCTCATCTGAGAACAGAACAGACCGCCATTGTTCCAACGTCCAATTCCGATGATCCTGTGCAAAACGCAGGCGTGCTTGCCGATTAACTGGAGTAGGTTTTGGACCAGTCGCAGGTGTTTTAGGGGCCAGGTTATTTTCCCGCAGTCTTCGTCTCACTGGCCACTGACTAACAGCCACTCTTCGCGCCTCACGGAGCTGTCGTTGCACCTGAACGGCATTAAGGTGACGATTTCTTAATGTTGTTGACACAATAAAGCGGTCATCACGAGCGGTTGTAAATCGCCGTAGCCTATGAAAGGATCCAGTCTCCTCATAACGTTGGCACACTCTTCGAACCGCTGCACGTGTCATATCCAATTGTCTAGCAACAGCTCGCTGACTAAGTCCATTTTCGATTAAAGCAATAACTTGGGCGGCTTTTTGTGGTGTAGTATGCATTAAACTAACACACTTGAACACTGCTGAGATTATGAAAAACGAATAATATGCAAATTTCACTTGCAAATGCAATACTTTTACAATTAGACAAATTTGTTATTTTCGTGACAATCACCACATACACACGTTTCATTTGTTTACCGGTTAATACTACGCATTTAAACGATAAGCCTTCTTGATAAATTTATACTCACACTAAGCATATTAAATTGTCTTTCAAACAGTATATTTGTTTTTGTGATCTGATGAACATTTCTTGAAAAAAATATAGTTTTAAAGTCAAAAGTTTACAGTGGGCCGATTTCTACGCACGCAACTGTATTTTACTTATTTCAGCAATTTATAGTTAACATATAAAAAAAATTGAACTTCATAGATAAAGTTCACAGATGTGCAGAACTGTTTAAAAAACTGTTTTTAGCATTTAAAGTATTTCTAGATTGGTTTAACGGATGGATGGTATAACTATTATTGTTGGTCAGTCGAAAATCTTAAGCATAACTATAAAATTCTTTTTAAAAATCTCAAATACTCACACTGTTATTTTCTTTTAGTCTAATGAGCCTTTTAGCCTCTTTTAAGTACTTCTATTTTGTTTTTAATTTTCTTAATTAAACTAACAGGAATTCTATTTGATAAAGCTAACTATTTGTTTTTTTTTTTTTTCAGATGCATCGTCATTGTATGCTTTTGGTCCTAACAATAACAGCTCTAGGCCTGGCAATAGAACAGAGGAAAACTAAACAAGTGAGAAACACCGACACCAACCATCTGCGAATAGTCGATCCAGATCCAAATGATTCAGAATACATGAAAATCGAAGCTACCGGTAGCAACAAAAATAATAAAAAGGTCAACAACAAAACCGGCGATGACGACAAACCCAAAACGCTGTCTCAGCAAATAGCGGATGGGAAATATGCTTTAATACAGAAAGAAATATTCAGTAAACCGCCAAAACGACCAGGGATTTTGAGTTACGACATCAATCCAGAAGTTCCTAACGATAATATAGATAATCTAGGAGGACTAGATAAGAACGAAATTTGGTTAGCTGAAAACCATTTGTTGGTATTACGAGGAGGAAGCTTTCCGCCATACGACGACAAAAGGGATCATTCGGAATCGCCTTGGGGTCCACTTGACAACTATAAGGCCCCGTTACACCAGGTATGTAGTTCTATTTCAGCAGTGATATAATTTCTATTTGGTATCAATCTAGTCATATCTCCATACGTTTTCAGTTTCCTTTATTTGTTATTATCTTATGTGATCGTTCCATATTGTTGCATTACTTTCTTCTGTGGTCTGTTTTAAAGGATTTATTTTAATTGGATAAATATTGTTCCTGCATTGTGCAGTTGTTAACGCTATTTGGTGCAGTATTGTAATGTTTACAATCAATACCAATTGCTATAATTAGTTTAGTCAACAAATTAAAAAAAAAGTTGCGACTGATTTAAAGTTAAAATGGCTGTACCGGGGGTTTAAAGCATCCTGATTGCTAATTCAAACACCAAAATCTCTCACCACGTATATATCGTTGGTCTAGCGCACAGTGGTGCTAAGTGAAAAATAGCTAATTCGAGTAATTGCAAAAACAAAGTTTATAACATCATATAGAGTCAAATAAGTTTTGTTTTCAGCGATTTATTTGTTTTGCGATTTTAAAAAATTGAAATAAATCTCATAGCTGCTTTAGAAAAAACATATTTTCAAAACAAAAGTTTCACTTAACTCATATTTGATACTAGTTTATTTAATTCACTAAATAAAAAAACATTAGACTTAAGCCCATTTAATATTAAAATATTATAAATTCTTAAACAAAACACAAAAAACTGTTTAAAAATAATTGCATTGAAGATTAGTCTCTCTGTTTGTGTACTGCTAATTGCGTTGAATCCGATGTCGATGGAAGACTAATAATGAAATCTCTGTATTCTTCGGGAATCATTTTTTTATTGAGTAGATAAACAAGGTCTTCCTTCTTTTTATCCCTTTTATGAAATAGGAATGCGACTGGGATATTTAGATTTAAGCTGTACAGAAGTCCAGTTCTGATGATAGATCGTACTTATATTGAATTCTTGAATGCCTTTTTTTTCTGAAATCGCAACCACTTGATTTTTAGCTGTTCAACCTTGTCCTCAACACAATTTAAAGTACTGTTTGTCATAACGTCATCGACAAGATTCTGTATATTAAAAAAGTCTGAGTTCTTTAAATGAATAACTTGGTATGGTCTAGGTTTCATCCTAGTAGCTCAAATCAATAGACACCACTCCGCTTAAAGTAGAATAGCTTCCAGATCGAATGTTATTGCTCTAAATGTTTGTTTTTTTTCGGCTCTTTTATGCTTTTCATACTCTTCTCTTACGGGATCTTTTTGCTTGGCCTGCTTGAATGCATTACACACCAAACACTGATCCTTTTTTTGGCGATAAAGATCTGATTCAAAATCATGAAAAATACTTTGGTAGACAAACTTTACCGGACTTGCTGTTGAAACTGTTAGAAGTGCAAAAGTCTTGATATAATCTGCATTAGATAGGTTTTAATTGAATCACGCTTGCAGTAATGCGAGTCAATTCTTGGAAATGAGTTAATATGATGCTTAACTTGCTGCCGTTGTATCTCAGCAGTTGCATTGTGGGGTTTGCTATTCTTTCTTTTATCATAGCCGACAAAAATTCCCTTATTCATCATTCCTTCAACACACTTCTCGACGACTTTACGATATATAGCAAACGTGGCTGTAAAAAACTTAGAGGCACACTCTAGATCTTTTACCATTATTATCTATTAAATGATATAACCTTGATTCTTCTCGATTTTTTGTAATGGGAGTTTGTTTGCTTCTAGATACATTCACTATTTGTATCTCAATTTCATTCCTTTTTATTGGCCTTTCTGCGGCGACGTTTTTTTGGTATTCCATTCAGTTAATCACGTTTTGGCTTGTTTTTATCAATATTTTCAGATTCACTGCTTTCTTCTGACGGATGATAAGAACTTCTCGATAAAGCATAGGGATTATATTCATCAAGATCACTACCATTATATGAGTCAAGTTCTTGAATCTGGTGATTAATGTTTTCATCACATAAATTTTCGTTTCCTGTACTTGATTTAGAATAATAGTTTCTGTTATATCAATTTCTATATTACCTGGTACTCCTTCAGTAGGTTTTTCCAATGCCGGAGTTATTGTGGCAACTGAAATAAATAATTATTTTTAAGTAAAACAAGATGGTTTTACAGTCGACACCTTACTATACCTTTAAGCTCTTTTCTTACATCATATAATGCTATCTGTAGTATCTTCTCCGATCTTGACGCCATAATTATAATTACAATTATTTTATACCACTTTTCATACATCAAATGACAACTTTGCAACTATTACTGTCAAATAACCTCAAAACGCAAAAGAAGCATGTGTTCACTTCACTCATTTGTAATTGTTGTACAAGAAACAAAGGTACTTAGTGCTCTTCCAACCTTTGTGCTAAATTTCTACAATTTATTAATACTTACCACTTTCGTTAGATGGCGTTAGCTAATTTAAAATTATAATTATCAGTTAGCTCGAGTGTGCATATAAAACTCCTTGCTAGTCTTCATTTCGGAATGCATTTAACTCATTTTGCCAAAAAAGTCACTTAACACCTGTGTGCGCTAGACCGACGATATTTTGAGTTATACAATGCATTAAATAATGTTATTTATTATAAAAATTCTTATATACTACATATAAATAAGTCCAGAACTAGAAACAAAAACTATGGTAAATCTTTTGTACACAAATTCTTTGCAAACGCTGATTTCCTTTTATACTCTGTTTCACTTTCTCTCGTGAGGAACCAACAGTAATCTCCCATCATCCTGTATCCCGTCTTCCCTGGTAGCGTTGCTCTATTGTGAGAATATCCTGGTAGAACCTTTCTACTTGCTCGTCGCTGACCGCACCCAAATTTTCCGGGAAAAAATTTAATTGGGAGTGCAGAAAGTGTATTTTTAGCGACAGCCCATTTTGCAGTAATTTTTAAGTAGTTCTTCTACAACATTTTGGTAATTTTCTGCTTTTTTGTTTCCCAAAAACTCGAAAACAATTTTTTGAAAGAAACCCACACAGCTAACTCAACATCACTTGATTTTTCATCAAACTGTTGATCCCTCAGTATTTTTCTGATTTGTGGTCCAATAAATACCTCTTAAGCTTCGCGTCACTTAGCTTAGGAAAAATTTGTTTAAAATATTTAAACGCATCTCCTTCTTTATCTAATGCTTTAACTGAATTTTTAATCAATCCCAGTTTGATATGTAACTGAGGTAACAGAACGTTTTTGGGATCAACGAGAGGTATATTCTTTACGTTAGCTTGACCTGGAATGTACTGATCTCTTGGTGATCATTCTTTAACTTGGTAATGACTCTTTATTGCTATATTGTCCCAAAGAAAAAGAAAACAGCAAAATTATGTAAATCCTCTCTAAAGACCTAGTAATAATCCGATGACTTTTAAGTCACCACATATTTGCCACTTTTATGTATCATAGCTTACTGCACTTAGGATCAGCGACATACTTTCGTGTGTTTCTTTCATATCAACTGCATGCGCAAGAGGAATAGATGGTTTTTTGTTGCCGGTATGCAGCAGAACTGCTTTAAGACTTGATTTATAAGGATCTATAAACAAACGTCATTCTTCTGGGTTATGTGTAAATGATAATTTTTCCATAAAACTATTTGGATTAACACTAACACACATTTTATCATGCATAGTAAAAAACGAGGATAGCTCCTGGTTGCGGTTCCTAAATATGGTAAATTTGATTTCACTGGCTAGTAAATTCCATTGTTGTAATCGAGAACCTAAAAGTTCAGCATGTTCTTTGACAGGTCAAGGTCTCCAACTAAATCATTTAACTCAGTTTTTTGGATGAAATGGGGTGCTTTATCATCGCTTTCGGGAAAATAAGGATCGTCCTTTTGTGATACATCATCGGGTTCACTTTTATCGTCATATATTTCCAAATCTTGCACAAATTATGCACAATTTTCAGGAAAAACTTTAATTTGATAACATTTCGCTCCGATATATTACAAACGACTTTAATTTTTTTTTAAATACCTTAAAAAAAATATATTTTTTTTTAAATCATAACTCAAAAATCTTACGTGTTACGAAGTTTTTATCAGGATATTCATGTTCAGAGAACCAAAATTAACAAACACACCGTTTTGCATTCGAGTCGCAAATTGGTTGTAAACTAGTGTTATGAAAGGAAAGATTCGGAACAAAAGTAGCATTTGGATCAGGAGGTCCTGATTGAATAACTTCACAGCATAGATGCTTAAGCAAGTTTAATTTATGTTTCTCATAAGCTATCTTGTAATCTAGGTTGTCAGACCAGTTTCATTCGGTCTGTAAGCTGAGTTTGGTCGACTTCAGTTAATATCAGTATAAACGGAATCATTGTTCATCAATCATTGTCGTATTTAGTTTACCAAAATTTTTTAGTATTTTAAATTCTAAACATTCCAAAAAATACTTGCATAAATTCCTTTTTCCACTCTAAATTCTCTATATGCTTTTCTCAAATTTGCATTTGATCAATATCGTAGTTTTTTTAGTAATTTTCATTTTTTCTTTTTATTCATTAAATGAATTTGAAAGGAAATTAAGCTATCTATAAACGCTAACAGTTGTTCCTTTTTCTTTATTATTCTCGTCTCTATTATTATTGTTGACAAAAATGTTACCAACTGCGTTTATTTTCCTTCCTCAATATTTATTATAGGTTATTTGTCGTATAAAACGCATAACATTACACAAAGAAATCTATCCTAGGATATTTCAAAGCTCTGATGGTGCCCCTTAATTCGAAATATGGAGCGTACTACTAATTTTTTTTATTAACTGGATACTATTGAATAAAAAACCATTTACCATAGCTTTGAACAGATTACTTATACATTGTTTTTATTTTTCTAGGTCAAGATCCCAAAGAACCCGAAAATTCCGCCGCCCTTTCCTGTCCAGCTCACTGAAAACGGGCCGCTCCAAATCTTGGGCACAAACTCTTCGAGAACGTTTAATGGAACGTACGAAGAAGCCCTCAACTCTATTTCGCCCCCCGAAGGCTATCCCCCACCAGCGCCGTTCTTCCAACCTTACAATCCCGATTCGGCCAACCTTACTCCCTGGTCAGCTCCGATGCCAATACCTGGCAACTCTCCGCCGGGGGAATTATCAGGGGGGTTGCCGTTACCCCCAATCAGCTTGAACGGAACATTGCCGCCATCCTTAAGCTATTTGCCCCCCGGAGCCGTAGTACTTCCACCGCCAGGAAATCAAACAGATTACATAGATTACGACGACCCATCGATTTACTATCCGCCACCTTACAGTTTTTACTACCCAAAAGATAATTCCTCGGCTGTACCTGCTGGGCCTTTAGTGCCGGGAATAATTTTGCCTCCTCCTCCAAATTTCTTTGCCCAACTTGAAAATACCACCGGCGTAAGTCCGACCAGAAAACCACAACGATACAGAAAACCAACAACCACCCAAATAACGATTACCATAACTAAATCAACCACTTTGGCACCTACCACGACTAAGAAAACAACCCTACCCCCTAAGACAGTTAAAATTTATCCGGTCAAGAATCAGCAATATATTAAAGAAATCAGAACTTCTACAACTCCTCGACCTACTATAAAATCTGTCACTATTGTTCCAGAAGTATTTACTGTACCTCCAAGACCAAAATACCAACCAACACAAAGAAAGAAACCTGGTGTAACTATTCTTAGACCCATCAAACCAGCTGAAACACCTCCTAATGTATACGTTTACGAAAATGAAATACCAAAGCAGCCATTCAAAGAGTATGGACCACCTCCAAGGGTTACTACCACCGCTATTCCTCTTAAGTACCAGAGTACGTCCAATAATATCGACACTAATTCTGTAACAGAAGAAACGGGAAAACGAAATAACTTTAGAAAAGGAAAAGCATCAAAAACAACTTTAAGACCTGCTCAATATTACTTTTATGAAGAGCAAGAAAAGGAACATGAAATTCCTGCCAAAACGAATACGTACGTTGAAAATAACGAACCCTACTACGTAAGGCCAAGACCTATCGCTCCAGTAAGACAAAGAAAGCCTCAATATGTATATGTAACAGCTAAACCATATAATACGCAAAAGCCGAGGTTCAGATTTATTCAACAACCAGTTAGTCAAGATACCTTCAATATTCACATTAACAAATTAAAGGACCAGATACAACAGTACTACACAACTCCTAGGACTTCTTTCCGAAATGCTCCGAAGCCAGTTTATCAGTTTAGTTTTCAAGCAGCTAATTATCCATCCCAACAAACAAACTTCAAACCATCTCCTCAAGTTGATCAACAAGATCAGTTTCAACCAATACCCCCAAAATATACCGTTGAAATTCAACAAGCCATTCAAATTATCCCTAGTGAAGCGCCAAAATATCAGGAAAATCCAAGACCTGTATTTTATCAGCAGAGTACAGAACGACCTTACTACACGACAGCAGCAGCGCCGGAGTATCCGCAAGAAGTAGTGACTCCAAGACCTAATTACGTGCAAAATGTAGCAACACCTAGACCTATATCAGAATACTCCTTTGAGGCAACTCCTAATCCAGTTTACCAAGGTTATTACACCAAACCTGACGAAAATTATTTTGATGATAGAACCAAAACTTATTTCACAGTGTTTGGAAGAAAGCTACCAGCAGCAACAACACCAATTCCCCAAATAGAACAGAGTGCTTTACAACAGAGTAGTTATCAACAAAGACCCATCTCCTTAGAAGGGGATACTTTAGTAAATTATGTTCACCCCAGACCTAACATCAACCCAGACGCCGAAATCATCCCGGTTAATAATCCTCCCAACTATCCCAACGTAGTAAGATATTCACCTAGACCTATACCAAAACAAAATTCCGAAATAATCAAAGCCATACCCTACGAAGTACCATCTAGTGAGTCGCAAGATGGTTCCTTCATATCATATCAACTTCCAGGTGATGACGGAGCACATTTCTACTTCCTTACCCCTCAACTAGCTCAAAGAAAAGATCAAGGCGCCGGATTCTACTACTCTAAGGCGAGACGGAGAAGAAACGAAAAGACTGCTGATGTAGAAAGATGAATGTGCTGTGATAGGCAATAGTGGAACTAAATTTTTATATCAAATTTGAATTTCTAGTGCCTATTAAGATAAAATTGGTCTGTGATCGTGCTAGTTCGGTGATAAGAACGGTAGGAAACTGTATCATCCTAATTTGTAACGCGTATTCAATATTGTTTGGTACAATTTTGACAAAGGACTTGGACAGTAATTTATTCATTTGTTATTTAATCAAAATATAACTGTCATCTTGTCCAGATGATATTGAAGCAAATGTACATACAAATTGGTATTATTAATCGTGAATAAGTTTAAGTAGGAGGTCCAACTTGTCAAAAATTTAAGTAGTAAAATATAGAAAATACCGAAATGTTTTTTGTTGTTATTTATATTTGACATATTTTAACTTATGAATTTTAAGAGTCGACCTCGAATATTAATTAAGGCAATGAAGAAAGAGAGAATGATAGTCATTTGTAATTGATGAATCTTGTCTAGGAGAAAAATTGCTTTCGCTTATATAGTTCTAAATATCCGCAAAAGAGATATTTTTTGGTATTTACTAGCTTTTTGAATAAAATACATCGTGCAGTGTATACAAGACGTAACATTATTCTCTAATATTTCGATTCCTACATTTTATGGTACTACTGGTCGCACCGTTACTGTAAAATATTGTTAAGATATACAGGGTGTTTCAAAAAAGGTAACCCCGTCTCTAGGGTAGGTAAAAAACTGAAAAATAATTAGGTAAGTTTGTTTAGTAAAAAAATTTTGTAACGCCATCCGTTTTCAAGATACAGGGCGTTGAAGAAAAAAAAAGTTTACGCATTTTTTACGATTTTGCCGAAACTACTGGCAACATTGTAATGAAATTTTATACGAATATGTTTTGGAAGCTGATACATCCCATAAATTTGTTTTTATATCTGATTCTCATAGAGGGCGCTAGTTACACGGATCGCACTAAGTATTAGTCAATATAACTTTTTTAAGAGTAAAATTTTATTAATCAAAATTTCAAGTAAACTTAAACATCATTCAATTTTACACGAAAAAGGTACTCTTGGTAAAACTCGATACTGGGTACCGTTTTCGGAATATTTTGATTTGAAAATTATGAAGTAATAATTGATGCTGGTATAAAATAGTTAGTAATTAAACAAAACTCACAAGAAGAAAAATAAATTAATGACTAAGAACATAAAATAAAATTCAATTAGAGTAAGTGTTCAAAATGCCCTCCGTTTTCGCGAATACACAAGTCTATTCTTTTTTCTAAAGATTCCATTAACCTTTAAACGGCAGGGGATCAGCTATGATGTCATTAAATTGACGTTGAATTCTTTTTTCCAATTCTTGGCGTGAATTTACCTCTGTAGCATAGATTTTTTCCTTAATATACGACCAAACTGCTTAGTCCAAAGGGTTAAAATCGCATGACCGAGGAGGCCAATGAATCGGAGCTTCTGCACCTCTACCAATCCATCAATTCGGAAAATGATTACTCAACCAATTACGACACCTTCTATCAAACTGTGGGGGAGCTCCATCGTGCATAAAAAATAAAGATCTTCGCTCGTTTAGCGTTCAATCTCCTAATATCTCGAATAAGGAATTATTTAAAAAATCACGATACATCATCATTTAAATTTCCAGGTAGAATATGATAACCTATTAATTTGTTACCTAAAGTTGCTGCCCAAACATGAACTTTAAATAAGTGTTGGTAATGTAATGCAATACCCTTTTGACTCGTGGATTCTCATCACACCAGTAGTGTGCATTATGGGAGTTAAACATACATTGTCGCGTAAAGGTGGCCTCGTCCGTAAAAAGAATGCATTTTAAAAAATTTGGATTGTGGGCAGTCCTTTATTGCAATGTTTCACAAAAATCCACTCTAACCGGTAGATCATATGGCAAGAGCTCTTGGACTTGTCTGTAATGATAAGGATGTAATTACTGTTCTTTCAGTATCCGCCAAGTACTTGAAGAAGAAGTATTTGTTTGTCTTGCTATATTCCTTACGCTAACTGTTGGATCTTGATCAAGTAAATTTAAAATATTATTTTCTTTATTAATTGTTCTTGTTGTTCTTGGTCTACCAGAATTTATTTTATTTGGTCTCACATTCCCAGTTTCTCGACAGCGTCGCTCAAGGGCTCTAAATATTTTTTTACTTGGTAAGTTTCTTCTGATCCGCATCTAACTGCTGAACTTTTGCTCCCCATAATCCGAGAGGTGTGGGAAACAAACCGCATTCCAGCGGGCTGGAAAAAAGGCATCATTACGAAGCTTCCAAAAAAGGGCAACCTCACACTATGCAAAAATTGGAGAGGAATAACCTTGCTTACCGCTATAAATAAAATCTTCACGACTTAAAAGATTAACAAACAAGGTTGAATTTCGAGCTAATCAAGTAGGCTTTAGACCAGAATCCTCCTGCATAGACCACATTAATACTGTGAGGCTAATAATGGAACAATCGGTTGAATGGAACACACCCCTATACATGGTTTTTGTTGATTTCGAGCGTGCTTTTGACAGCTTATCTCATGATGAAATATGGAAAATTTTAGAGCTAAGAAACATCCCGCATAAAATAATTTCCATTATAAAGTTACTGTACACTGAAGCGAAATGCAGCGTGACACACAATGGGATCAACAGTGACGAATTTGACGTACTTACTGGAGTCAGACAGGGATGCGTGCTTTCTCCGTTTCTTTTTAACATAGCTCTAGACTATGTTCTCTCCAAACTAGACTCTGACACAAGAGGGATACAATGGACGTTAACCACACGCCTAAGCGATCTAGAATACGCCGACGATATCTGCCTGTTAGGACAAAGGTTCCAAGATGTGGCTGACCAATTGGAAACACTTTCCACTGAAGCCAATAAAATAGGTTTGAAAATCAATATTGGTAAAACCAAATCCATGAGAATAAATGCAAGAAACAACACGCTATTCACCATTAATAACATGCAGATTGAAAATGTGGAAAACTTTACGTATCTTGGAAGTGTCATAACAGAAAGCGGAGGTACAGAAGACGATATTCGTATGAGGATACGAAAAGCGCAACAAGCGCGGACAAAGATCCGCATATTCCAGTCAAATGTCATGTCTGTACTACTTTACGGATGTGAAACCTGGAAAGCGACAAAAACCCTTACAGACAAACTGCAGGTCTTTGTTAATAAATGTCTACGAAGAATTGTTCGTATTTTCTGGCCTAACATCATCAGAAACGAAGACTTACTACACCTGACCAAACAAAAGAGGGTAGTAAATGAAATAAAGTCCAGAAAGTGGGGTTGGATCGGTCACACACTCCGAAAAAATAACTCCAGTATTGCAAAGACTGCCCTAGAGTGGAATCCCCAAGGAAAACGAAAAAAAGGTCGCCCAGTACAAACTTGGAGAAGATCCATCATGGACGAGATAAGAAAACAAGGAAAGTCTTGGAATGAGGTGAAGGCCTTAGCGCAAAATAGAACCCGATGGCGCGTTTTCACTGAAGCTCTATGCTCCACTTAGGAGTTCAAGAACCTTATATATAAGTTTCTTCTAGGAAACTTTTCTGCATAACGTGTCACAGCTGCACTAGAACATCCTTAACATTCGCCTAAGGTTAATAACATGTCAGTGTATTCAACATTTGAGTACATTTTGATTTGATTTTACAAATAACAAGGTTTCAAAATCCAATGAAATTATTGTTGATTTATCGTCATAACAATCAATAAATGTCAGATTTCCATGGCACACTTGGAGAAAATAGAGGTATACCTATTAGAACTTTATCATTACTACCAGCATCAATTATTACTTCATAATTTTCAAATCAAAATATTCCGAAAACCGTACACAGTATCGAGTTTTACCTTTAAAAGAGTACCTTTTTCGTGTAAAATTGAATGATGTTTAAGTTTACTTCCCGTTTAGTGCCCTCTATGAGAATCAGATATAAAAAGAAATTCATGGGATGTATCAGCTTCCAAAACATATTCGTATAAAATTTCATTACAATGTTGCCAGTAGCTTCGGCAAAATCGTAAAAAATGCGTAAATTTTTTTTTCTTCAACCCCAATTATTTTTCAGTTTTTTACCTACCCTTACGGGGTTACCTTTTTTTGAAACAACCTGTATATTTAATGGCACACTCTGTATATTTTTTAAATTTTCTATAACCTATTAAATTAAAACATTATCTTGGCGAACTTATTGTCCTAACTTTATTGATATAAAAGTTGTAGTGACTTGAAAATGTAAATATAAAGATATTTGCTATCGTACCGTAAAAGCTTGTCGTGGTGAAGTAGTTCTTCTTGTTCGGTCGTGGTCGCTAAATATGTGAGGTGAACACGACCGAGAAGCTGTAAGGTGCAATTTGACAAAACGTGGTGCGGGGTTCTTCATCGGTGAAGAGGAAATAGAAAAAGACAAAATTTAAAAACGTGAACCAACCCACCATGTAATACCGTTTTTACCCTCAATATTTGTGGTTTAAGATCTCTGTTATAGGGCCAAACTGTCTAATTATGGTCAGTGCGGCCAGTCCCGCCGTATGTCGGTAAATTGATACGGTTCAAAGAAAGGTGGAAGCTGATGTATACCGTCAAACTTTCAGACGTGATTAGGGACAGGTATGGTCAGCGCCGTTATTAATGAAGTTGTGTTGAAATCTTTATCACTGTACACACCCAACTTAATAAAATTTTTACCGGCGACAGTGGTAGACAAATCTAACCTAAGCCCTCGATATCGAAGGGACATGCTCCATTGGGGTAGTTATCAAAAAGTAAATATTGATTAATATCACATTAACATGGCGTGCCGACCGCTTTCTCTTTTCTTATCGTTCATATCCATTTTCTGTTTCTCTTTGCCGATATGAACCAGCGAAGAACTCCTTTCCAAGTTCTTTGAGACACCGGCTTTAGACGGTTTAACTCCAGGTATTAGGCGACACCCAGACTTCATTGTCCTTCTTCTATCAGGGGCATAAGCTTAAATTTTCTACCTTCTGGTAAGACAACAATGGACCAGGAAGAAATAAACGAAGTAAACAAGTAAGAATAAAAACGCAGCCATTCAGAGGCTATGGTTACTCGTTCCATATTTCCGAACATAGAGACAATATACGGAAACATAGTTAGAAAATTCGCGATCAAGTTCAGCAAGGGTCGAAAAAGGTCCAGCTAGTGAGGAGCATTGGTAGCAGAAAGATACTTGGATATCCAACGTGATTTGTACGTATGTTTTATAAACTGCCGGAAAACTTTCCACAGAAGAAAGCATGATAAACATTTGAATTTCTTAACGAAGTATCAAGATGAAAGAGATATCAGTATTATCCGAAACACATATCGAAACCATAGAT